GAGGGACAAGCAGACTCCATGCTGAGTGCGGAGCCCAACTCAGGGCTTGATCCTGCCACTCCAAGATCATGACCTGAGCTGAAATCATGAGTTGGCTGCTCAGCCAACTGAGCCACGCAGGTGCCTCATTTTTATGTAACATTTTTAAAAATTTATTATGTTATGTTAATCACCATACATTACATCATTAGTTTTTGAGGTAGTGTTCAATGATTCATTGTTTGCGTAGAACACCCAGTGCTCCATTCAGTATGTGCCCTCTTTAATACCCATCACCAGGCTAACCCATCCCCCCACCCCCCTCCCCTCTAGAACCCTTAGTTTGTTTCTCAGAGTCCATAGCCTCTCATGGTTCATCTCCATTTTAAATAATTGAAATTGAAATTTAAAAACTGGAACAGTGTAAAAATATTTTTCTGTTAAACAAACTTGACTCTTTTGCTAGGACTTATTTCACTTTAACTATTGCATCTTGTAAGATATTATTATTGCATTATAGTGTGTGTTGGATATGTGTGTCATTTCTAGTATTGCACATAAACACATCACTGATCTTGTTGATATTTTTTCTATGCACAGATATATTGTATTTATTTGAATATTTTATGAAGACATAAAATGAGAATATGATTTACCTAATGATACATATGTATGTCATAATTGAATGTTTATTACTTAGTTATAATATTTAAAAAATTATTTATTAGGGGGGAGGGGAAGAGGGAGAGAGAAACTCCAAGCAGACTCCATGCTGGAGCCTGACGTGGGACTCAATCCCAGGACCCAAGATCATGACCTGAGCTGAAATCAAGTTGGAGGCTTAACTGACTGTGCCACCCAGTCACCTCAATTAAATTATTTTTCTAGTTAAAAAATAAGTATAGACAAATTTTTGAATTTACAGTAAAGGCATACTTTGATGCAGATTTGAGTGATGATATAGGAGCTAGTACATTGACTGGAACAGTAAAGAAAAAAAGAGCCTGGAAGAAAGTACATCACAAATATCACGATGCCTGGCAATTTCAATTTTCTGTGGCAGAGGAAACCCCCAAAGCCATTGACATATGATGATGCCGCTGCTCTGTGACATTTATGTTGTGTATTCTTGTGTTTTTAACATTTCTGTTTTCATTTTTAATAGGTAAATATGGATAAATATATCCGACAAAAAAGTCCTTTGTGGTCTTCAATCACTGTAAAAGTGTAAATCAAAATGTTCGAGAACTCCTGAACCAGGTCCTAGAGAAGACAAAGTGGAATGTTACTATGGTATTGGGAACTAGCAGTATTCATTAGAACATTTTAAAATGAGGAATGACTTTGGACACTTTTAACTGGCCTTAACTTAAAAAGAAAAATTCCATCTTCTTTCCCAATACCTCTTTCATCAAGGTCCTTATACTGCAGTACCTCACTTGATCTATTTTACTGGATCTTAGGACTAGAGGACTCTAATATTTAGGCTCTTCTCTTTTTTATCCACATCCGGATTGACCTAGCCTGTGTTCAGTTTCCCAGGGCCCCTGGTGTTAGTGGGATATAAGGATTAATGAGGAAGCTTTCACAGGAAGTAATTTGCCTTTTTAAAAAAAGATTTTATTTTTTAAGCAATCTCTCCACCCAACATGGGGTTCGAACCTACAACCCTGCATGCTCCACCAACTGAGCCAGCCAGGTACCCCCTAATTTGCATTTCTTTAACAGATGACTTCCGAAGACACAGTCACTTCATTCAGCAGAGTTATTATTTTGGAAGTTGGAGTAGGCAGAAATCCACTATGAATAGTCTGAGAATCCCTACAGACAGCCATGGACTCTACAGAGTTAATACATAAGGTTCCTTGAAATGACAGCCGCAAAAGGCAATTTCCACTGCAGCTACAGCACTCTGGGGGCTGTCCAACTAGGATGCTGCTCAGCATCCTCCTCTGGCACTGATGAACCTAACGTTTTCAATGGCCAGTGGTGTGCTGGTGACTGAACTGGAGTATAGTTTTATAGTCTCTGATAGTTATCCACAATGCCTCCCAGGTAAGAGGTGGCCTTTTGAAAACATGAGGCTCATGGACACAGATTTTATTTCATTTATTTAAATTTAAGATGCTTAAGGGACATTCCTTTGCAATGGTTTATTTTCAATTCCATTCTTCTCTTTTTCAAATTTAAATGGTACTATCCTCTTTTATCTTAAAATAGGTTTAATTTTTTAGAGCAGTTTACATCCACAGCAAAATTAAAGTATGGAGAGTTCCCCATATACATTCTGTCCCCATGAACACACACAGCCTCCCCCACTAGCAATATCCCACACCACTGGGGTACATTTGTTACCACCGATGAACCTATATGACACATCATAATTATCCAAAGTCTATAGTTTATATCAGTGTTTACTCTTGGTTGTACATTTGACATGTTTCCACCATCACAGTATCATACAGAACGGTTTTACTGTCCTAAAAAATCATCTGTTCTCTGCCTTTTCATCCCTCTGCCTCCCCAGCCCCTGGCAATCAATGATATTTTTACTCTCTTCATAGCTTTGCCTTTTCCAAATGTTATATAGTTGGAACCATACAGTATGTAGCATTTTCAGAGAGGTATCCTCTTTTATGATTTCTTTTCTTCCTTCTAGACTGCTCATACTGGCCTCAGAAACAGATGGTGGTTGATAAATAAAATGAAAAAGCAAGCTACTAAGTGTAGCCTGGGGAACTCTTGCATAGCATCACATAGAGTGATAAAGCCCTGAGGTAGGGAAAAAAAGAGAGCACTGTGGTTAGAGGATAGTGTTTAGAGGGTGGCAGGCAAGCCTTGGAAAAAGAATCAGGGCCTACAGCTTGTGCGGGGCTTTGCAGGTCAGGCTAAAGCATTTGAGTTTCCTGAAAGTGCAATAGGAAGCTATTTGGAGGGTTTTGAGCACTGTAATCTGATCTCATTTACATTTAAAAAAATGACACTCTGAGAGGGAGAAATGACTGTAGGTGGATGCAAGGAACAGTCCCTCTCCCCAGTTAGGGAACTATTACAGTAGCCCAGGGAAAAGATGATAGTCATTTGGTCTAGAGTAACAGCAGTGCTGATGGAGAGGATAGAAATTGAAGACATACGAAGGTAGAATAGCTCAGCTTTGTTAATGGATGGACTAGGGTATAGAAGGCAGAGTGAGACACACACACAGAGGACAGAAGAAATGCAATTTGCTGGTTTAAGGAACTGGCAGATTTGCCAATATAGTAAAGACTGAGATGGGGAAGGAACAAGTGTGTATGTGAGTAATGGATTGGGGGGGGCAGAAGGAGTGTGGCACATGTAAAAATGTTTCACACATTACATTTCCCTCAACATTTTATACTGGACATGTTCAAAGAGCAAACTGGAAAATAATTTTATGAATACCCATTTATAAGATCTACAACTACCATCTTATACTTCTATCCATTTATCCATGCCATCAGCCCATCTTACTTTTGTAATACATTTCAACTGCAGACATCAATGCACTTCCCGCTGCATACCTCAGCATACATGTCATTTATTTCCAGTTTTTTTTGATGTAAAATTTATATACAAAGTGAAATGCACAAATCTTAAGTGTGCATTCACTGAGTTTTGACACGTGCATACAACTGTCCACACCTTAAATTTAAGATGCTTAAGGGACATCAAGGGGGCATAATCAAAGGGGCTGCCGAGAGTGGGAATCCGGAGCTCAGAGAGGTCTCGGTTTGAAATGCAAGCCTCAGAACACGTCTATTTAAGCTACGCGATTGAATGAAATAACCCAAAGGGTGTAGAGTGAAGAGAAATGGGCTCTACCCTCAGAGTCCAGCGTTTAACGGTCTGTTGCGGGGGGGGGGGGTGAGGAGAGCGGAACTTGTGGGGAGGTCAGGGGTTGGCCCCGCCGGGGGTCTCGAAAGGCCGGTCTGTTCGGCGCCTTCGGGGCGGTTCTTGGTAACCATCCGAGGTGACCTGAGGTGTCACGGGAAGTGGGGGGGATCAGGAGGGGGACATGGAGGGAAATCCCAGTCCGAGACGGGAGGTCGGCTTGGAGGGGAGGGAGGAAGGGAAAGAGAAAAGGGATTTGGGGAGGCGGGAACGGGGAAGGGGGGCAAGGGGACGTAGACAAGAAGCCAGAACCGAAGAGAAGGGGAGCGGCGGCGGCAGCGAGGGGGCGGAGTCGCCGCAGCGGCCGGCCGAGGGGCGGGCGGAGGGAGGGGGTGTGTGCGCGGGTCACATGGTCGCAGCTGCCCTCCCCGTCAGCCGCCCTCGCCGCCGCGGTGCGCTGGCTGCAGGAAGCCGCCGCGCCGCCGCTTTTGTTGTCGGGGACTCCGCGAGGAGCGCCGCTCGCCGGCCGCCGCCGCTTTCTCTCACTGCAGCCCGCTCTCTGGCCGCGGGGCCCGGGTTCCGGGCGCCTCGCCCGCCCTGCTTATGAGGGGGCCCCGCGACCACCGCCGCCTCCAGCCCGGGGCGGCGCGGCGCTGAGGCGGAGGCGGCGCTGCCACTTCTGCGGGAAGCGGGCAGCCTCGGTCCCCTCCCGGAGGGCACCATGGAGGTGAATGCGGGTAAGAGCCGGACTGCGGAGAGTGGGGGCACGGCGGAGGGGGCTCTCGGATCCCGTTGGGGCACTCCGTATGGCGGCGGCGGGGAGTGACCTCAGGACTGTGGGGTGGGCTGCTGCGCGGTGCGTATCGGCTCGGGCTCGGTTCCCGCGTTGCCCCCCGGGCCTCTCCACTGCCGCGCTCCCGGCTCCCTGCAACGCCGCAGCGCGGCCCGTGGCGCCGGCCCGGCCCCCCCCCTCACATGGCCGGGCCGCGCGAGCCACGTGCGCGCTGTGTTTACGTTCCGCGGCGCGCGGGCGCCGGTTGGCTGGGCGGGCGCGTGACGCGGCATTACATAATGGGCGCTGAGGCGGCGGCGGCGGGCGGGGACACGTGAGGCCGCTCGGCTCGGTGACCCACATTCCCTGGGGCCGCAGGGACACGTGGGGGCGGGTGCGCGCGCGCGCCGTCGCTCCCCGCCGCAGCCTCCCGGGAGGCCCCGCCCCTTTGGAACCCTCCGGGCTGTGACGTGGTCGCGATTCCCTCCTCCCCCGCGGGGTTGCACATTGCGGAGGAGGCTGCGCGTGCGCGTGCTGGACCCCGCGCCCGGGCGGTCCCGAAGCGGGTGCGGACGCCGCAGTGTACCGGCTGCCGCCTTACGGTCGGAGAGGTGACCTCGACGCGCAGAGTCAGGGCCAGGCCTACTGCATGGGCCGCAGACCTTGCGGATACTGAGGAAGAAGTGCGGGTTTCTTGGGGAAGACTCGGTGCTTCCCCAAAGCGAGACCCCTCGGAGGTCTGAGGAGCTTAGTTCCTGAGCAATGCCTGGTAGCTGGGACGGCACCTGCCCTTGTTATGATGCTGCTTCAGTATTTCCAGGAAAAATGGTCGCTCTAGGACGTGACCTATCTTACACACGGTCATAAAAAAGGCTCGAAAATCCCCTCGGGCTGGGAGCCTATAGGTCACACCCATAGCTAATCTTTCAACTCACGTAGGGTCGGGATGACTCAGGTGATCCCAAGTGACCCCGAGACTTTATGAAAGACTGGTCATTGTTTATTTAAATTGATTTTTTTAAAAAAGATTTTATTTATTTATTTGACAGAGACAGCGAGAGAGGGAACACAAGCAGGGGGAGTGGGAGAGGGAGAAGCAGGCTTCCCGCGAAGCAGGGAGCGCGTCGTGGGTCTGGATCCCAGGACCCTGGGATCATGAGCTGAGCCGAAGGCAGACCTTTAACGACTGAGCCACGCAGGTGCCCCTAAATTGATTTTTTTAAAAATCCATTGGTTGCCGACCTTTCTTGAACCTGATCAACAGAATTTGGCTTTATCATTATTTTTTTAGTTACATTTCCTGTTACAGTGTCACAGAACAGTACTGTGCTCCCTTCTCTCCTTTTGCCTGCCCTCAATGATGGCCCTTACACCTGAGGCCAGTGAGGTTACAGAAGAATCTAGTTTGTGATGAGCTCTGGCTGTTATAGGCAGCTGATAAATTATTGAACACTACGTCTGAAACTAATGATGTACTATATGTTGGCTAATTGAATTTAAATTAAGAAAAAGAAGCCAGTTTATATTTTTTAAGTTATATGCACTTTTTAAAAAACGATACCTTGAAAATAAATGCGTTGTGAGTTTTCCACCAATGTAAAAATAAAGACATTTTCTGTGTTTTAATTAACCTCTGGGTCTCCTTAGCCTTTGAGGGTATTTTTAAAAATTGGGTAATCTGTCCTGGAATTAAATTTTTGCTTGATAAGAATGTAGAGATTATTAGGTTCAACCTTTTTCAACCTAGCTTTTAGCATGAATGAATTCTTCAGATTTGTAGCCTTATAAGGTGGGCTAGCTCAGGAGGCTAGAAAATTTTTGTCTGGTTTGAACCTTCCTGGAACAGTATCACTGATTTTAATCTTGCCTTTTGGAGCTACAGATAATAAAACTTCCTTTGGATCACTGTTGAACATAACCACTCCAGTTCTTCCATTTTCAGTTCTCATTACTTGGTCCTTGCTCAGTGTTGTTTTGATCATCATCCTTGTTGCCCTTTAGGCTGTAGCACCCAGAGGTGAACAGGCTCCTGTGGAAATGATTGGACAGTTACCAAGTTCCAAGTTTCGGATTCTGATGCAAATGAATTCTCTGGCAGGCTGAGCTTTGTGGCTTATTGGCTTTGCTGACTCATAGTAACCTTGCAGTCAACTAGGACCTTTACATGTGAACTATTTTGAAGCTAGGTTTCACCCATTAATGGGTGCAGATAATTGACCTGAAGTGTAGGAATTTGCAATTATTTTTCTTAAGTTTTATCTTGTTCCTTTTGGCTCCATTGTCAACCTGTCTCAAGTTGTTATCCAGTACATTAACAACTTCTGCCATATATCTGTTAGAGGGAGCATTGGGAAACATTCCCTTCAATTTTCCTCAAATTGCAAATGTTGTCTAGGGTGGGGCCAAATTCAGTGCTGTGTGACTCACCTCTGACCCATCCGTTTGATTGATACTGTTATTAGTACCATGGTGAATACACATTCAACCAGTGACCATGTCATCTAACTTTTATGACATAATTGTGTCTTTACCTTATCCATGACTAATGCAGATATGAAATAGTGAAGTGGCAGAAATTGACTGTATATGTTTCTGTCACAGATTTTGGGTGAATATACCAGGTTCCTTAAAGTAAATGATAACTCACTGCACAAACTTCATAACATGGCTGTAATTCACATTTTTAAAAATTTTGAAGACATTCCCACATAGTTCATTCTTGTTTTTATAAACTTGTATTTCTCCTAACTTGAAAAAAAAAAAGTCAGAGAGCAGTAATGGTAAATAAGTCAGTTGGAGAGAGAAACAGCAAGATCATGGAAAGACTTAGAAGTGAAGTAGCAGTTTGCTTGACTAGTCAAAGGAGTTAAGATATTCAGAAGGTGGTGTGGAAATAACCTCCAGGGAAACCACTGGGTCCATTTGACACACTCAAAATTAAAGGAACGAAGAAAGGATAGGGAGGGTTAGTTTTGTTTGAACTCTTTAGTATGATGGTAAAATAATATTCACCAGTATCTGTGGAGTACTTACTATGTGCCAGGCCCTTTACATGTGTCACTACTTTGACACCACACTTTTAATTCTATGAAGGCAGGTATTGTGATCATTTGAAGATAAAGAGCTAAGTAGATTGAAGTTAATTAACTTAATCCAGGCAGGTGGTGGAGCCAGATTTTGAATCCACAAAGTCCACTTGGGGAGCACAAGCTACTATGCTGTATTAGGTCTAAGCCCACATGACATTTGATAGTATATGCACATCTTGGTGGTCTGGTCTTCTTGGGGGTAAAGGAAATAACTGTGTGGATCCACTTGATTTGTAGTGGTGTAGGGTTGTAGCTGATGGAAAAGGGGCGGGTGTTAGTAAAGCCTCCTAATCTCCTCATTCCTTTCTTTCAATCTTGTTGCTAGTCATACTGTTTTTCCCCCAGACACTAGGTTACATTTGTGTCTTCCCCCTCCCTCCCTTCCCCCAGTAATTTACATGGAGAGCAGAAACACTATTTAACAAAGTAAGACCAGATTTGTTTTGTCATCCCATTTTTTTATTTGTTTTCTTAAATCTCTTACGTGGTATATCATTTAGTAATTTGCATGTTCTTCAAGACCCACTTATTGTCACCTTAGCTGTGTTTGCCCCTTTTGATCTTTGCCCTCCTGAGTCCTCTTGTGTGATCCTTAGCAGTTCACAGTAAATTTGTATGAAACAGTGCTCGCATTGCACTGGAATGAATGGTTAAGACAGCTGTCCTCAGTTGGTCTACAAGGCTTTTGAGGGAAGGGACCATGTTGTTCTATGGAGCCCTGATGCTCAGGACACAGTTGGAAGGTTAGTGCTTCAATTGGATCTATTATACCATCCTGTGAGTAGAAATTATTGGTAACCTACTTTTAAAATGAGAAAACTAAAGCTTCCAGGTGGTAAGTATGTTTTGTTCTAAGTCATAAGGCACAGTCATGAGTTGAACTGAAGCATTCTTTCCAGGATGGTGGGTAGTGGGAGTGAGAAGGTTTTGGTGATGGGCAAGCCTAGAATTGGGGTAAGAAAACCCCAATATATGGCGAGCAGTAAGTGTTTCCCAGCAGTATAAAATTAGATATTGACTTCTGGCTTGTCTGAAGTTGACCACTGGGTAAGCCCTAGCCTGGGAACCTGGCCCAGCTCCAGGGATTTTTTTCCAACTAAAAATAGAGAAGACTGCTTCAGCTAATTTTAGCTTGAGGCATCTAAGAAGTACATTCTGCCTGTTTCTGGAAGTGTTGGGACTTGCTGTTTTGGGGATTTTACCTTTCTTGCTTTATCATCAAAAACCATGTATGTAAAAAGCACTTTAAGAATCCCCTTTTATGAACACCATTTCAGTCTTGTAATAACTCTAGCAGATATTCCCATTTTACAGAAGGTGACTCAGTTTTAGAGAGATTGAAAGTGGTTTGCTTGCCTAGGTCTTTGCAGTAAGAGATAATAGTTTATACTATGGCCTTCACCTTCAACCCTGGCCCTGCCACTTAGTAACAGTGTTTATATTAAACCTCTCCGAGCTCTGAGTTCCTCCTGTGAAAAATGGGATAATGGAAGTAAATACTTGTGAGGTCAAAATGTGATAGGAAGTTGTGTCACTTTATTCTTGGTATTTAGTAGGTACTTGAGGACTTGTAGTTTTCACTTCCCTTTCTTCAAGGGGTTGAGGAACTATTAGATGTACTCCTTAACTTTCTCGGAAATTAAAATGTGACCGTTTGGGTTACTAACCATCAGGTCAGTAGATTGGTGTCTGGTAGCAAGAGTGGATGCTAAGACAACTAAATCAGTGTTGAAGGTCTTGCTAGGAGAATGTAGCTGCTTCTAGATGGGTCATCTTTGATACCACGGTGCCTGGCACAAATGCTTGTTGAAAAGGATTGTTAAACTCCCTAAAGATAGGAATTGATATTAACTGGATTGATAGTAGCTTAGTGATTTTTCTTAGGTTTGATTTTGGAGGTTTGAAAAGAAGGTGTATTTTGGGTAGTTAATAACAATACCTTCCATTGGTCAGTCAGTGTTTTAAAACAGTTATTAAGCCATTGGGATAGCTCTGATTTCTGCAAGCTTATTTCTCAGGTGAGGTAGCCAGACTACCTTGTGAACGTAAATGGCTCTCTCAAATGCTGGCCCTAAGAAAGTCTTACTTTAAGGAAAACCATCACTTTCTCATCTTTTACTATCTTGAGATGTAAGAGAATTTACCACCTAAAGTGGTAGTACTTTAGTAAGATAAATAGCTGTGAGATGTTCCTTTGGGAGTTTATTAAAGACTAAGAATAATATTTTCCTTTGCATTCTATTCTGAGTGTATAGACACGTGAAAACAGTAGTTTGCTAACACCTGGAATTTCTAATGTGAACTTCAGATCTCTAAAATTTTATGAAAACAGATGGCACAGTGGTTTTACCCAGTTACATGACATTTGCTAGCCTTCCAAGTTAAAATTGTTTCCTCTCTGGATTCACAGTATATTAAGGGTATTCAGGCAGTTAGTCAATGAAAACATCAACTTTTACAAACTATGAACCAATTTGTGCTTTAATTCAGTGATTGTAGCTATTCTTTTGTGCAAAGAATTGCCTGGGGAACTTGTTAAAAATTAAAAATGGTCATTCCTGAGGGGCCTTCTCTAGTTGGGCAGGACCTTGGAAATATGTATTTTGAAAAAGTACCAGGTGGTTCTCATGATACATATTTTACATAATTTTTCTGGGTGATGAGAATAAACTCACACTTAGGAAGTTTTTCCTCCTTGTGTTTGGAGTTTTAGGGGCTTTCAAAACCAGTAGATGAAATTTCTGTTATCAAAATTACCCTTAGTCACTGGGGGACCTGGGTGGCTCTGTTGGTTGAATATCTGCCTTGGGCTCAGGTCATGATCCCAGGGTCCTGGGATCGAGCCCCGCATCGGGCTCCCTGCTCGGCAGGGAGTCTGCTTCTCCCTCTGATCCTCCTCCCCGCTCACGCTCTCTCTGACTCTCTCTCTTTCTCTCTCAAATAAATAATTAAAATCTTAAATTAAAAAAATTACCCTTGGTCGCATTTTCTTCCATTGAACACAGATAAAGATGTTGGCTTGTGACAGTCCCAGTTTTACTGTGTAACTATTTTATTGTGAATCAGTATCACCAAAAGGTTGATCAAAGTTTCTGATTCAGTAGATCTGGAGTGGGGCCTGAGAACTTAGGTTTCTGATAGATTTGCAGGTGATGCTGAAACTCTTGATCTAGGGACCACACTTTGAGAAAGACTGGTTTATAGGTGGGGAACACACTGCAGATCTAATATTAATCATAAAGCTCTGACTTCACTCTGGGAAGATGATAAGCACATGGCAAGAGAACATTTGGGAAGTGGGTTAGTCTAGAAAGACCAGAGTCACACCTCCAGCTTCAAGACGGATTGCAGGCATATGTTTAATGAATGGAAAAGTGGATGGAATTCTCCACATTATTTATATTTTTTGTCTTTAAAATTCAAGTACATTTAGTTGCATTTATGCATATTAAATTTGTGTATGATGAACACTGTTGTATTTTTCTTGGCATGGTAGGTGCTGTTTTAACTTCTTCTGGGTTTTGACCAAAATCTCTAAGAGTTACGGTTTTACTTTACTTCTCAGGAACTTCTCATCCTGGTTATGTATAATTGGTACTTAAATACATGTCTGGAATCTTATTTCAACAAAACAGACTAAAAGTGACCTAAAATTCTTCTGTCCAATTTTTTCTTCTCTGTAAGTGGAAGTGTCTTTTTGTTCTTTGGAATTGTTTTGGCCTCAGCATTTTGCTGTGTGTGTGTGTGTGTTGACTTATAAAGTATGGCTTTTATCTAAAAAAGAGATTGGGGAATCATTTTTCATTAGCAGAGAAGTTTATTTCAGAGTGAATGCTTAAATTGCAGTTGTTACTTAGGGAACGTGCAGAACTTTCCAGTAATTACTCTGTATAGCTACCCAGATTGTTGTCAGAAATGCCCTGTTTTGCTTGTGACTTTCTGGTAATGTTTTATGATACCTGGGATCTGTCCATATTATCAAATGTGTGCTTCACAAAGGCAGAGAAGTAGGTCTTAAAAATATTTATGGCAGGCTTATTACTTGCAAAGTTATGTATAGAAAATTGAGAGACACTGTGCACTTAGGTGCTTATAGGCTAGTTGAGAAAGAGATGGAAACAGATAAACAGTAGATTTAAATAAGAACTCAGGACAGTGATAGAAGAGAGATAATTTTACCGTTGTGTCTGATGCACATTGAAAAAGCCCATAAATGTTTGTTGGTGATAGAGGGAAGAGGGAAAGAAACCACAGTAGATCTTGGCAGAAAAGATGAGAATTAGTTGTTTGGCCTGGGATTTGGAATAATATATTTGGCTATGAGATTACTCTTGCAGTGTTTTATGTCTTTGACGGAAGATGTTTGAAATTATACTCTTAAGAATAATTTTAAATACTGTTTATTAGGGGCGCCTGAGTGGTTCAGTCGTTGGGCGTTTGCCTTCGGCTCAGGTCATGATCCCGGGGTCCTGGGATCGAGGCCTGTGTCGGGCTCCCTGCTTCGCGGGAAGCCTGCTTCTCCCTCTCCCACTCCCCCTGCTTGTGTTCCCTCTCTCGCTGTCTCTCTGTCAAATAAATAAAATCTTAAAAAAAAAATACTGTTTCTTAACCTGGGAGGTTTACAGTCTCTAAGAGGCCAAGACCAGTTTTCACCAGGGTTGTGGAGGTTATATTGGTGCGGTTGTGAGTAGTGTTTTGAGAGTGGCTCTATGGAGAGAGAATTAGTGTCAGCCTTAATGTTATATAGCATGCATTCTTTCAGCTTCTTTTAACATTTACTGTAAATAGCAAGTCAGAAGAACAGGTGGTGAGTCTGGATTCCTTAAGAGCTGTTTACAGATAAGTGTGTCTGCAAGTCCAGTGGCAGAAGCAGGTGGGGAAGGGGGAGCGTGGAACTGGTGATTAGTGGATAGTCATAGACGTTTTCAGGGATCTTTTAGGAAATATTCTGGGAGCAATAGCTAGGAAAGTTCACTATTTTGACATAAATTATCTGGAGTTCCAAATGTTATATCTGTTCTTGGTTAACCTGTGTTTTAGCCAAGTGCTGGGGGAGGCAAATGAACTCATTGTTTGTAGGATTGTGTCACTATAATGAAGGAGGCAAAGAGAGGACCAGAAGCAGACTTCTTCATGACAAAAAGTTTGTTTACTCTAAGCTAGGTAGTCAGGAAGGTTTTTCATTCCTTTTAGGAAAAAAAAAACCTAGAAAATGAAAAGCTTTAGGTTTGGATCTTTGTGTGCTCAGAATAATTAAGCCAGTGAGACCTTCTTCTTTTTTGAATTAGTGGAAATGATTTGTGCTTCGAACTTTGTGGAAGCAGGAAGAATAGTGGGGAAATAAGGAAGTTAGTTACTTTCTCCTTTTAAGGGTGAGTGGATATTTAGTCAGCAACCTGTTTCTAAAGTTAATGACTTTACTATTCACATTTGGAAAAATAGAAAACATATATTGTCATGTATCTAATTATCTGAATTCTCCCCTCTTTTCTAGGAGGTGTGATTGCCTATATCAGTTCTTCCAGCTCAGCCTCCAGCCCTGCCTCTTGTCACAGTGAAGGTTCTGAGAACAGTTTCCAGTCCTCCTCCTCCTCTGTTCCATCTTCTCCAAATAGCTCAAATTCTGATAACAATGGTAATCCCAAAAATGGTGATCTCTCCAACATTGATGGCATCCTGAAGAATGATCGAATAGATTGTTCTGTGAAAACAAGCAAATCGAGTGCACCTGGGATGACAAAGAGTCATAGTGGAGTGACAAGTAAGTTACTTTAGTTTTCAAAGGTTGGTGCCATTAATTGCGGGTGGGGTTTATTTTATCATTTTTCATTTGGGTGTCATTTCACCCCCTTTTGGGTAATCATAGTTTAGTAGTTAGGTAAGAAATCAGTGATGATTTTGAAAGTTACAGCCTAGGGGTTGTCATAATTGGTTCTTGCCATGGAGCAAGATCCGTGATATGCACTCTGCCTGGCCATGTTTCCTTTAGGGTATCCCCTTTTACCACATTTTCACAGTTGCCTTTCTTCTGGACTCTTGATACTGAATCTGGTTTCTAAAACAGAGTACTTGTTATGGGAAGGGGTTTGCTTTCATGAAGTTGGAGCTAGGAACATTTGGGATTAGCAAATAAAGCAGCATTGGGATAACTAAATGAGTGGTGGAATTTGGACCCCTGAGTGAGTGTGGAGGTAAAATTGGTTGATACAGGGGGAATGGTGCCTGTAGGTCAATTGAACTGAGTATCTATCATACAGCAGTCTGTGGAGACATCTGTTCACACCTCTGTTGATTGACTCTTTTATCTGACTTCTTAATTCTTACTAAGGAGAATTGTTTTTAGTTCTGGTTGCATCTATATGGTGTAAAGTAACTCTAGATTTATAGAATTTCAGTGTATGTTTAAAATCATCAGGCTCTCAAGATATTTTTGGCAGTCCCATAAACTGTATTTAAAAGAAAACTAAGATATCCTTGGATTTGTTAATTTGGTGTAAAGAATTTTCTTTCCCATTGTAAAAGTAAATATGAAATATGTATCTTTTCAGAGTACTTACAAGTTGAATAAAATAAGTTGGAATCAGTTGGAAAGAAAACAGTTGAAGTTTTTCTTCCAGCTTTATACTTTTGTGTCTGTTTGTGTCTTAGAATTTAGTGGCATGGTTCTACTGTGTAAAGTCTGTGGGGATGTGGCATCAGGATTCCACTATGGAGTTCATGCTTGTGAAGGCTGTAAGGTAAGCTACTGATTCTGGGGTTAAAGAAATTGGAGTTAGCCTTTCCAATTTCCACAATTGATAACCTGGGAGGATGAGAGAAGTCAGCAGCTACTCTTAAAGTTTTAAGCATTTTATGTAGTATATAAATGTAACTTGTTTTGAAAAATATATTTTTATTTTTTAAAGATTTTATTTATTTATTTGACAGAGAGACACAGCGAGAGAGGGAACACAAGCAGGGGGAGAGGGAGAGGGAGAAGCAGGCCTACTGCCGAGTAGGGAGCCTGATGCAGGGCTCAATCCCAGGACCCTGGGATCATGACCTGAGCCGAAGGCAGACGCTTAATTGAGCCACCCAGGTGCCTCGAAAAATACATTTTTAATTCAGTGAAAATATTTCTTTTTTTTCTTTAAGATTTTGATCAGAATAAATTTGCTATCTCACTCAAACTTAATTATGGTATGAAACCAAGTGCACAGATGCTTATTCATTAATGCATCAGGCACTATTCCAGGTGGTGGGGAAATAGCAGGGAGCAAAACAGACAAGGCACTGCTGCCTTGTTGGAACTTAGTTTAAAACAAACTTTGAATAGGTCTCCTCAGATATGTTGACATTCTGATATGTCAGATATTAGGAGTTGGGAATAATTCCTACATACTTGTAAGAATGTGGTATCTTCAGAAGTAGTGCCAAGTGACTTAAAGAATCTTGAATATAAATTGAACGCTTGGGAAACCTTATTTTATTTTTAAGGTTTGTTGAATATTTCTTGGTTAGAGGGTCAGCTAATTCCAAGTGAGATAGTCTATACCTCCTACTTAAATCCAGGGAATCTCTCTTTTTTAAAAATCTGACACAACTATTTCTCCTGAGTATCAAAAATTAATATGGCCAAGACATTTGCTCTTGCTGTTTTCTGACTGAAAGCCAGGAGCAGGAATCCAGCTTGGCAAGATATGATGGGTGAGCAAGATAAAGAACATACATGATGGAAGAAGAAATATTTTTTAGGGTAGCTCTGAATAAATTGTGAGTTTTGTAGCTCTTAATGGCTGGGTCACTTCACAAGACTAGTCAGTATTTAATATAGAAGTAGCACTTTTCCACTGTATAAAAAATTCTGTAAGTACTGTTTTACTCATTCTTTTTTTTCTTTTAAATAAGAATGTGAAATAATTGTAGAGCAGGCATCATTCTCAGTTTATTGATAAGGAAACAAAAGCACAAGCAAATGAGCCTAATTGTGTATCCTTGATAAATACACATAATTGTTCTATACCCTCTTAGAGATATGTCTAGTTCATACATTTTTGTGTTCAAGTATAATATTGTAATAAAATTTAAAAATATTGTATTTCAAAATTACACAGATTCTTGAAATGTGTGGTTAGTTATAATATTCAAGGAAACTGCAATTTAAAATTTTGGTAATTGTGCCTTGACTTTTCTGTTCTTCCTGAGACCATGAAGCTGGAGCTCTTTAAAGACCCATCACAGAGCACATGCTTAAATTGTATAGTAAAGGCAGTTATTTGTAGCCATCTAGCTGGGAACTGTCTTTCCTTGGATCACTAGCTGCTCTGCGGGTGTGTGGTGTCACATGTACCTGTTGCTGACAAAGTAGCCAGGAATATCTGACACATGTGAGTAGACCTTGCTGGTGTCAGCCGGTAATGATGCAGGAAAGACCAAGCTCTTCTAATGGAGTCCTTGGTGCTAGTGAGGGAATGATACCTGTGGAACACATTTCTCTGTCAACTCTTTAAAAATCAGTCATTCATATTTCAAGAGTTTTGGGATTTGTATGTGATTAAAGTTTGGGCTGGAAAGTGTGGCTGTAGGCAGGGGCAGGTAACAGGGTAAAGTGTGGTAGAGGGGTGCTTGGCAAGCTCCAAGATTCTCCAAAGGGAGGAAGGGGAAGAAGAGTTGTTTGGCTGGTAGGCAGAGGTGCTTACTAACAACAGTTAGAACCCAGTTAAATTCTTTGTGTCAGTATTATATCCCTGTGTTCTAAGCCAAAATTATTTACCAGGTAGCTAGTAAAATACTTGATAGTCAGTTGTGGAGGGAATGCTTACAAGGATTTCATCTGGATGTTTTTAAATGGCTGAGTACATTTTCCTTTGTTCTTAGGGTTTCTTTCGGAGAAGCATTCAGCAAAACATTCAGTACAAGAAGTGCCTGAAGAATGAAAACTGTTCTATAATGAGAATGAATAGAAACAGATGTCAGCAGTGTCGCTTCAAAAAGTGTCTGTCTGTTGGAATGTCAAGAGATGGTATGTTCCTACTTTAACGAGCACTCTTCTTAAAACATATGGAGCTAGGCTTTTATTCCTCAGCATAAACCAGACCTATAGGCCAGTTACCAGTGGCCTTGTGCTTAGAGTGAAGCAGATTTTAGAAAACACATTTTGTTGCCTTATAAGATGCCAGATTCATTAAAGTTAAATTTTAGTGTTATCACCCTGGAAAAACAGCTTTTGGCTCTTTTTTGGGGCTTCTTGTAAACCCCCCCCCGCTTTTTTAGTATACAATTTGAATACTTTTTTTCCTAAAACAAGAATTCATTTCCCTTCCCTTCCCTCCCCTCCCTTCCTCTCCCCTCCCCTCCCTTCCCCTCCCTTTCTCTCTCTTTTTTTGAGGGGGAGGAGTAAAGGGGGCCGGGAGAGAGAGAATCTTAAGCAGGCTCCATGCCCAGTGCGGAGCCCAATGCAGAGCTCGATCCCACGACCCCCAGATCACAACCTGAGCCAAAATCAAGAGTTGGAGGCTTAACCTACTGAATCACCCAGGTGCCCCTCTTTTTTTTTTTTTCCCCCATATAGGAATCCTTGGCTCTTTCTCCTTGATTTCTCAACGTTTCTGAGGAACCCTTTCTCCTATGTGAATTATCTCTGTGACTTTCTTAGCTCTGAGACGATAATGTGCCTTTAGGGCACAGGTTCTGAATATGTTGAAAGGAGATACAAAATTGAAAGAAACAGTAGGGTCTGGAGTGGAGGTGGTTGCTAAATTCTGTCATGATCCATTCCCATAAAAAATAAAAGTTAATTTGCGGGACTGTTAGTATTTTCTGTGGATGGCATCACTGGAAAATTTGACTCTTCTATCATGCTTACGGAAATCACTTTTGGATAGTCTCATTTAGTTCTAAGTAACATAACAGAAGAGTATGAGGTTTTCAGAGGGATTAGTTTAGTAGGATTAATTAAGAGTTGCTAAGAATGAACCTGATACTTATCTAGGGAAGCGTCACTTAAGCAGTCCCTTAAGTTACTCTAATATGGTACACAAATACTGTTGTAATAGAGCTTCTTGAGTAATGGATTTCAGCGGTTGATGTTTTAGATTTCATTTGCCTGAAAATTTTTTTTATATTACTAGAAATTCTGATCCAAAGTTGGTGGATATTGTGATTTCCTCAAAAGAACAAAAATGGCAGTCGTTTGTGAAGGAGGGAGTAGAGATGAAACATGATAATAAAATTGTCCATGATAGCAATAATATCAGAGGCTACAATTAGATTAGGAAGGCATTCTTGCTGGGTGGGTATATTGGATTTTTTTAAAAAAATTTTTTATTGTTATGTTAATCACCATACATTACATCATTAGTTTTTGATGTAGTGTTCCATGATTCATTGTTTGTGCATAACACCCAGTGCTCCACGCAGAATGTGCCCTCTTTAATACCCATCACCAGGCTAATCCATCCTCCCACCCTCCTCCCGGTATATTGGATTTTTATGATCCCTGTATAAATATTAGACTAGAAAGCTTTTCTTTTCTGTCCCTCAGGGATAGGAATGTTGGAGACAGAACACATTCTAAAACTTGGCCTCTAAAATAATGGAGGATGAATGATTTAATTTTTGTTTCATTGATTTTAATTAAAATCCAGCAAATTTTTAATAACTGCATTTCTATTGACTGTGTGTGTGTTTTTTAATTAAAAATTTTTTTAAAAAGATTTTCTTTTTTAAGAAGCTGGAAAAAGAGCAAATCATTTAATAGTTGGGTCTTGAGAATAGGGTTACAAAAATGAATTGACAAAGGTTAGATGTTCAGGGAGTGCTTGTACCTACTAGGTTCCATTAACATTAATTAATGGCTGTGGGTAGCTGAATCCCATGTGCCTTCTTAAGAACCCAGCCTTCAGCCTTGTTAATAGGTGCTGTGTAGTAATGCTGATCTGTTTCACACTGTGATTTTTATTAGTTAATTTCAAATTTTTAAAACTTTGCTTCTAAAATACCTAAATTTTTCTCCTTTTCACTTCTTATGTACATCAAAAATACAACCAGCAAATTTAGAATAATTTGGGCCAGAGACATACAGATATTTTTTATTTGTATCACTAGAGGCCATAGCTAACAGATAATTTGGTGCTATTCATTTGTATAAACAGGTCTTATTTAGAATATAGATGTTAAAATACCTTTTTCTTCAATAGCTGTTCGGTTTGGTCGCATTCCTAAGCGTGAAAAACAGAGGATGCTAATTGAAATGCAGAGTGCGATGAAGACCATGATGAACAGCCAGTTCAGTGGTCATTTGCAGAATGACCCATTAGAACATCATGAACAGACAGCCTTACCAGCCCAGGAACAGCTGCGACCCAAGCCCCAGCTGGAACAAGAAAACATCAAAAGCTCTTCTCCCTCTTCTGATTTTGCAAAGGATGAAGTGATTGGCATGGTGACCAGGGCGCACAAGGATACCTTTATGTATAATCAAGAGCAGCGAGAAAACTCAGCAGAGACCATGCAGCCTCAGAGAGAACGGATTCCCAAGAGCATGGAGCAATATAATTTAAATCATGACCATTGTGGCAGTGGGCTTAGCGGCCATTTTCCATGTAGTGAGAGCCAGCAGCACCTCAATGGACAGTACAAAGGGAGGAACATAATGCATTACCCAAATGGGCATGCCATTTGTATTGCAAATGGACATTGTATGAACTTCTCCAATGCTTATACTCAACGAGTATGTGATAGAGTTTCGATAGATGGATTTTCTCAGAATGAGAACAAGAATAGTTACCTGTGCAACACTGGAGGGAGAATGCATCTGGTATAGTGAAATCAATTTTTTTGCCCAACTTGCATCAAGGAAAGCTTTTGAAGGTTTTCTTTTATTTGGGGGCAGTATACCAAATTCAGGGGCAGGGGTGGTGTCAAAACTTGAGACTTAACAGAATCAGTTTTGTGCAATATTTTTGGTTAAATACTTCTAATAACATCATTTGTTGATTGACCTAATTGACACAGAACTAGGTAAAAGCATATGATTTGGTTGATACTATGATTGGGATTAGGATTTTATATAAAATATGGATCATGTAGAATTGGTCCTTTAATTCTTAGAAATCCCTTTCAAAATTTAAGCATTCTGATTAATTACTATCTTACTAGCTGTGGGATTTTCTCAAAGGACTGATCATTTAGTTTGCCACAGTTAGTAATCCTTTGATTTCTTTGGAAAGTGTTTTCTTTAACTATTATAATGTAAAAAGGTCTTTGAATATAGAACATGGATAGATGTTTTACTGTTTGAGAATTTAGGACTATTTTAATTTAATATGCTAGTTTCTAAGGATTTTCTCAGACTTCATCTTATGAGATGAGTTAATGTTATTCAAGTTTTTTTTTTTATCAAATACAACAGTCTACATGAAAGTACAGTGTTTATGTTCAGCCAAAATTTCATCAGAAACAGCAGTACTACACCATTTCCAGTATAAACCATGAGGTCCTTTGATAGTGCTTGGTATTTTCTACAGTCAGGTAATTAAAGTCTTCTTTTTTCATTTTCAAAATAGCTGACTCTACCCCAGTTCTTTTGTTTATTTATTTTTTTTTGTCACTTGCAAGGATTTGATTCCATGGGTCTGAAAGGTGACCTTATTTATATTTATTAGACTTGGTGGCTGCCTTAAGGAGGGAAAAAAAATCTGTAAGCATTTAGGTTCTAATTTTGTGGTATTCTTCATGGTTATAGAATCATCCCATTCCTGGATCTCCTATGGATTTAGTGAAAATTTAAAGGCGATTTTACTAATATACAGAATATACAGTGAATGTTCATAATCTTTTTAGTGTTCTTATACCTTCTTTGGCTTCCTGGTTTTTCCTCACCAGTCCTTATGTAAAAGGTGCCCCTTGTATCTCCCATCATTGTTTCCTAATTAAACAAATGGAGGCCAGTAGTCACACCACTGTTAATGAAATAAATGGTTAATGACCTTTTTAAAAAAGTGAGGCATCTCACTATCCTCCTTTGAAATTATAATACTGTAATCGTGTCATTTGGAAAAAAGTGAGTTTTGAAATATTAACTAAATATTGAGTTCTAGGCCTGCGACTTCTAGCTGTATTTAGATAAACTTCTTAGAATCTCATTTCCTTATCTAAGAAATAATAACTATAATATTTGCCACAACTAATGAATATAGGATTGACAATGAAGTATGTATGAATTTGAAAATCTTAAAACCAGCATAAGGTGGCAGCAGTGTTGAAAACAACAAAACAAAACTCGTAAACCCGTGCAACAGGTTTTTGAAATAGCTTAGCCTACCTCTTTTATGATGCGTTAATTGCTGTTCAGACTAGGCTGCCATGAGGCTTTCTAACATAAGGCAAGTAGCAAGAAGAGAAGGTGTTACTATTAGTAGATTTTACCTGTGTCTGAGAGTTATTTTTACATTGGGGTTTCCAATGATCGAGATGCCACTTTCGAAGTTTCTTTACCATCTCTCACAATTTAAGAGTTTTTCTGTTTTGTGCATGTTAGGTTTGTCCAATGAGTAAGTCTCCATATGTGGATCCTCATAAATCTGGGCATGAAATCTGGGAAGAATTTTCAATGAGCTTCACCCCAGCAGTGAAAGAAGTGGTGGAATTTGCAAAACGTATTCCTGGATTCAGAGATCTCTCTCAGCATGACCAGGTCAACCTTTTGAAGGCTGGGACTTTTGAGGTAGGTTTTATTTATCTAGAATATCGATGCAGGGTGTGTGTAGTATTTTATTTTCGTGTACCATTTCATTCTTTTCTAAAGAAGTATTTATAGTCCAGAGGCTGAAATTACCAACAAAAGAATAACCATCTCAGAATCTTGGGAAGAAATGAGATAAATCCAGAGATTCTTAGGACTTGAAATACAACTGCTCTCTGTTCTCAGCATACAGACTTCCTCCAGGTTCTAGTATTATTTTCAGGTGAGGACCGCAGGCAGAGTCTGAAAGCCTAGCCTGGTGTTTCAGTACAGAGTACAAAGGGTAAATAGAACGTAGTTTTTCTCTTTAAGGAGATTGTAGAATATTTCGGGGTTATGTGAGACGTGTCTTACGTGCTACTTTAGACTCTCTTGGCTTCTCCTCATCCAGAATCCTTGCTACTTTTTTTCCTCTGGCTTCTCTTACTGTGATGCATTCTGCCTGGACATGGGGCAGCTACTGTTGCCAACCTGAGTAGGACACAGAATGCCTCTGTCTGTGCTGTGTTAGGTGCCTCCCACCTATCTTCCCCAGGGCTTCCCTGGTGCTGCTGAAGTGTGAGGAGCCTCAGGACTTGCTCAGAGCTCACTTAAACATTATTCTGAAATGCAGGGTGGTGGGTGGAAGTTGGTGTCTAGTGGGTCACATCTTTGATCAGTGGGGGATGGGAATCGGGATATATTTTCACTTTTCCCTGCTGGTCCCACAGACTGAGCTCTCAGTTGTTAATGAATACGGAGTGGTGGCTAGCTCAGTAATACATCCTCTGGTATTTGCTGTCATCCCTTCCCAGTCTCATTTCCTTTTTCCTCAAACCTGTTCTCACATATGGTACTGCACATTCTGCATAAACTTTTGCTTTATGCTCTGTTTTCGGGGGCACTTGAACCAGAATGGAGAAGGAGCCATATTCATAAATAAAATACCTATGGTATAATTTAAAGGTAAAACTGTTAGGTTAGGTTTTTCAATGTAAAGGAAAACATTAGAGGTAAGATTTAAACTCTAAATCTTAGAGGGGTGTCAGTGATCAAGTTCAATTCATCCATTTTTTGAGGTTAAGTAATTGTGATCCAGAGGGGTGAGGAGATTTTTCTGGGATTACCAATAAATTTCTGACAGAGGACCATAACACAAATCCCAGACTCTAGCACTTGTGTTCTTTCCACTTTGTGATTTGTCTTGGGATTGCTGTGTTCTAGTTAGTGCCATCTTCATAGAAGGCTCACTCTCTTTTGGATTGTCTTGAATAAAACAAGTCTTTGGGAATATTGCAAAGGGGAGGTGTTTGTTCAGTATTCCTCTGGTTATGAAAGAAGTATGTGACATAGGTGTTGCCATTTACTCTAGGGGAGGGAGTGCTGTAGATAAGCAGTTGACTGATTTGGTTTGGTTTGAAATACAACTTGGTGTCTGGAACACTTCTGCTGTAATAGTTTTCTTTGTGTATTGTCTCTTTGGGTTATAGTTTCTTAAAATAGTCTAATTAGAGTTTATCTGCTGCATTTGCCTTGGCTGCATTTGGTGTTTTGATGTCTCCACTGCTCTTTTTACTTATGGTTTAGAGTCCATGTGGTATACTTGGTAGCTTAAAGAGTTTCTTTAATGCCTTTGGCCAAGGCTCAGTTTCAGATTTCTTGGCATTATTGCCTGCTTTAATTTTATATTTGCATTTCAGAATCTTTATTAATAGTTTCAGAGTATCATAGGACTCAAGTATTTTGCCACTGGTGGCTGGAATTTTTTTGATGTTCTTGGGATATTTATTGCTTTGGTAGAGAATTTGCCTTAAGGAAATGGTTCTGGGTAAAAATAAACTTGGTTTTTCTTTTACAACTTTCTTTTATATGTAGGATGTTTCTTAACTTACTTGAATACTGATTTTTGTCTTAGTATTGAACTCCTTCAAATACATTTAAGTCTTTTTTTTTTTTCCTTCCAGGTTTTAATGGTACGGTTTGCATCGTTGTTTGATGCAAAGGAGCGTACGGTCACCTTTTTAAGTGGAAAGAAATACAGTGTCGATGATTTACACTCGATGGGAGCAGGGGATCTGCTAAACTCTATGTTTGAATTTAGTGAGAAGCTAAATGCCCTCCAACTTAGTGATGAAGAGATGAGTTTGTTTACAGCTGTTGTCCTGGTATCTGCAGGTAAGTAGGCTGGTTCAAAATTGTGCTGCACCCAGAATACAGTTATCAAGTGGGGAGAAGGTGGAACTACGTTCCAGCAAGCTATTTATAAGGCGAGAGGGCCTTAAGCAGATGCTGGACTGTGTGAATCTGTTACTTACTATACTATTCTGTATAGTAATAAAATGATGTTTAAATCTAGGCCTCACATTGACCACAAGTCTTAGTCTTTAACTTTTGCTCATAATTTTTACAAGTCTAAATTGTTATTTTTGTGGATTTAATTTTTGGAACATTAGGTGGTTCTGATACGAATTTAAGTTTTAATTAAAATGTGTATTACTTGAAAATGTTAAAATTATCAAGATATATTAGTGTGGTTTGTTCCAAAAATTGGTGAATTACGAGTAGGCTTTTACCCAGCTTTGCCACTGAATTTTCTGTGTGACTTGCATAAATAATTCTGTTCTTTTGGGTCTCGGTTTCCTCATCCTGTATAAGGAAGGGATTGTACCATGTGAGCCAACCTGGGGTCTGGCACAGAATAGGTACTTAGTTACTGTTTGAATGAGTGACAAAGATGTTTGAGTCCTTTAATTTAATGTTTATTTATATGAGTCATTGATGATGTTTTCCAATTTCCCTGCCACCTTGCATTTATATTATAGCTATTTCTGACCAACGTATTTCAATTTATTTTATTTATTTATTTATTTATTTATTTTTTCTTGGTTCGTATTTTATTGGGACTGACTTGAGACTGATTTTCACCATTTGAGACGTAATTACAACAGGACTGAATGTCAAGAGCAAAAGAAGCCACCCACAAATGAGTAAACTGGAAAGGTTCATTATCTTTGGAATTGAGGGGAAAAATCTGTTCAGAGCTGAAGGAAGGTCCTTAAATCAAGACTACTGGGTCAGCTTATGGAAATAGAAGTCCCAAATTGCACAAATGCCCACTAGGCAGGAGAAACGGGCAGGGCAGAAGACGTGGGCTGTGGGGACAGCTCGTCTGCACCAGGGACGGCTGGGCTGGGTCCCGGAGGTAGGAGACTGAAGTCTGGAGGCAGGTTAACACATTTACCCAAAACCCTTGTTTCCCAGTCCGTCTCGAGGATGCAGCAGTTTTCCTCATACAAGGCAACGTATTTCAATTTAGATAATAGCTATTAAGATAGTAGCAAATGGGAAATTGATACACAGCGACTTTCCTGGGGATATATAAATAAGTACCAGCCGTTTTTAGGTATCACTAACTTTATTTTAATACATTTGTTGAGAATTTAACAGTATTTTGATATTACTTATTTTGTTTCCTATTTGCTTCCTACTGTGTAAAAGCCATTGTACCAGGTACTGTGGGGGTTATAAAATATAAGTTATAACCCCCGCTTATGTGGCTAAACTGTAAATCAGTAACTCCTAAGGAGAGTAAGTTCTTTGTATATTTTAAAGGGCCTGTACATCAGTGGTATAAATAAAGACTTACGTCATTTGGAAGCATAATTTGGCTACCTGTTCTGATCAGCTCTACCTAGGTAACTAAAAACGTACTTATACAGAATCGTATGAGAGTTAACAGGTTAATAAGGGATAGCTATTTTCTTAGTAACCTTGTCATTAATGCCTCTTGCACTTTACCTACCATTTTGCATTCTCTTGATAAGTAATCATTAATGGTTTTTGAGTTGATATCAGATTAATCTATTATTGTGAAACTAAAGGTAATCTATACTTGTTAATTTCTTTATCTGCTCATTATGTGTGAGGGGGGAGACAGAACAAGCATTAAGACACAAGCTTGTTCTCCAAGCATTTATGTTTTATTTGGAGAGACAGAACTAACACAAAAAGCTTTATGGTATTAAACCATGTGGTTCTGACTGAGGAAGTAGGGGTTCTAGGAAGGAAATTACCTGAGAAAGCTTTGTGGGGAAGATGGAAGTAGAGCTGGAATTTGAAGGATGGGTTAGTAGATTTTCCTATTAAAACAGTGATGGAGCAACTTGGGAGAGCATGAGGTAGGGTAGGGGCAGGTGGCTAAAACCCAAAGTGTACATCAAGGAGGAAAGGGACAGAGACTTATGAGTTAAAGGGCACCAGGTTCCGGAGTGACTTCGAGGAGAACTAAGCAGAGTTTTGACTGAAATATGGGGCAGTGGAAAGTCAGTGTAGGGGAATGATGAGGCACGAACAAAGTGATGGTTTGACATTAGAATTTCTGCATGTTTATCTTGGGTGGATTAGACAAGTGAGTCATTAGAGCTGGAGAGTCAGGCTGAGAGGCTGTTGAAATAACCTCAGGTAGGAGGCAGTGGAGTGAACTCTCCTGAGATAGGTGTGGTAGAAGGAGGTGAAGCAGGAGGGACTGTCTCAGAGATGGTGAAAAGGAAGAAACGGTGGCAGGGGATAAGGGGGAGCTCTGTACCAGGAGATATGCTATTTATATTTTCTACCAAGCGAACATAATTTTACTTTGTTTTAATCTCCTTTTGAAAAAAGCCTTGTTTACTGATCATAAGAATATGGGTTTTTTGCAAAAGTAGAAAATACTAAGATGAACATAAAGATGATAATATTGCTACCAAAAAAGATCACTGTCAACATTAGGGGGTCTCTATCTGTTCGCCTGTCCATCCATGTACCATTTATCTGCTTATTGACTTACGGTACATAAAAAGTATTTGACATACCAAGTGGAAAAGATTGATTATAGAAGAGTATAATGCATTCTTATTTTTGTTCTGTCTGCCTATATGAAGGTATACAAGCAACACATAACACATGCACAATTTCATGCATTTTAAAATAGTATGTTGCTTTCACTTAAACATATGATAGTGTTCATGTCAAACTTAAATCTTTACCACCTAAAAAGGACTATTGTTATTTTTAAAACAGTATCTATTCAGGAAAATAATATTCAGAAATTATAGAGGAGGATAAAAGTCTCTCCTTCCTTCTCCCAGCCTACTCTTCAGAGAACTGGAATTCTAACCATCTTCTTAATTGTTCTGAGAGTTGCCCACCCACTTCTAAATACTGTGTTTATACCTCTTTTTACTGAGTAGGTATAACTGACAAAAGTATCTTCTTTTTAAAAGTTTTTATGTTGCTTTGTTTTATATAAAATTGTAATATGCTCACATTCTTTGACCCTTCATTTTTACATAATCTTTCAGATAGTTTAGGTTGAATCTTCTCCTTAGACAGGAAGACAGTACCCTCCTTCTTCCATATCCTGGCTTCTTTTGCTATACCATTTCTTTTACATTGTCAAGAATGAAAATACATTATGTTCTGTAGGTGTGATTAGTTTCCATGCTTTATCAGATTCTAAATATTGAAAAGTAAAAAATATTCATTTACAGTATTAGGATTATGTAAATAGTACAGTGTTCACACAGCGGGGTTGAAATGGTAGACAAGGTAATATAAATTTTTTTAAAAATTTTATTTGAGAGAGAAAGACAGCATGCGCAGTGGAAGGGGGAGCAGAGGAAGAGTGAGGGGGACAAGCAGACTTCCTGCTGAGTGAGGAACCTGACAACGTGACAATGTGGGGTCGATCCCAGGACCCCGAGATCATGACCTGAGCTGAAGTCAGATGCCTGACTGAGCCATCTAGGCGCCCCAAGGCAATATAAATCTTGCCCTAAACCTGTGCCTCCCAAGGGAGAATGTTCCAAGTATCAGATAACAAATGGATTATTTATATTCTCTATTAATTGCTTAAAATTAAGCAACCATTATATTTGCTTTATATTTAAAATAGTTTTTTGTTTTTCTTGGAATCTACAGTTACCATCTGGGTTTTGTTTTGGTTGTTATCAGAAAAAGTGCTAGTTAGTTTCTAGATCTCATTATATAATTTTATCCTTACAACAGACCTCTGATGTGAGCTAGGATATGTTATTCTCAAATACAGGCTAGAAATTTGAGGAACAGAAGGATTAATATGCTCAAGATCATGCATTTTAAAAAATTGTCTGAGCATGCATTTGAACTCCTGTTAGTCTAGCTTCAAAGCCTTTCTGCTATACTGCTTGTTAACAGAATAGCTGTAGCTGCTAAGGTAGAATCTCAAACATGATGTTTGCCTGTGAGGTTAGAAGACTTGATACCAGGGAGAAAAAGGGAATAATACCTGGAAGGTAAATTCTTCTTTAGGTTGTGTGAAATGGCAGCAGTCACTTGTGGTTGAAGATTAGGGATGGGCATATAGGTGTGAGAACAAAGTTCATCTGGATATGGATTTTACTTGTCCTCATAGAGGTTTTGTGGAAGGAATTTGACTTTCATCTTGTGTATGTTCATAGGAGATTTGGTGAGATTTGGTGGTGAGGGATGAAGAACTCTAAGCTTAAGGAAGCAGAGGACAGGTATATCATGAATTAAACTATACTATAAACTATAAAGTAAGTGTAGCATTTAATATACCATTTAGAAGATTAATTTTCATTTCAGTCTGTACATTCTGTTATAATTTCTAGAGGATTATTGTTTATGATCAGCTAGATTTGTAGGTAGGTTATTTGGCCTTGAAATCATGAAATCATGGTTTTAGAAATTGCGATTTTAGAAAAATTTACATTTTTAGGTGTAAGAATCCATTTTCCTGAAGTTGTGAGTTGTATAGAAGCAGCATAGGTCTTTCCAACACAGTATTCACTGAAAGACTCAAAATACTAGTTCCAACTCAAGTATCCTTCTCTGCCTATCTAGATTATTTTGTTTGTAGGGCTTACTGTCATTCTTTTCCCTGTTGTTGGTATTGTAAATTACTGATGATATGATTCAAACCAGGCATTTTTCTTCTAGAAGAGCTCTCTCAGGGAAGGAATTTTGGTTTGTTATGTTGACTGCTAAGTCCCTAGCACCTATCACATATGTAGCCATATACATTCAGTAAGTATTTTGGTAAGGGAATTAATAAATGGCAAGGATGTTGAGGAAAACAATTACTTGAATATTAAAAGCAAGGGAGACTCTTGGAAATATTATTGAAGGCTTATTGAAATAGTTTTATATGGCCCTTATGATTGTATGACCACAGTCAAATGTTAAGAGGTCTTTTGTCCATGTAACAATTTTGTCTGAAAGCATATGACCCCCCCAAACCAATAGTCAACATTCAAATTGTGTTTTTCTGTAATAATTAGCACATAGTTGAATAATAATCCACATTTTATTAAATGTAAGATAAACCTGTTTTTATCATTTTTTTTTCTGCATTTAGAATTAAACTTTTCCCTTTACTATGAAATTTTAGTGTTTGCATTGCAAGTGGCCTTTTTAGCTACCAGTTACAATGCAGAGCCTAAATATCCTTGTGAATAATGAATAAAAAGGGAGTAAATGGCCAGAGATTTTTGCTTCCTTCACGGTATCTTTCTTATTAATTACAGCTCCCTATACTGGGAGCCATTGAGTATTTCTTGTGCTCTACTGCCTCCTGTTGTAAAGGGAAGAAATAGCCCTTGGTGGTTGAAAAAAAAAAAAAAAAGTCCATGGGCAAACAGCATTAATTTTAAGATACTTTCCTTTAATGCTGGCTTATACTACATTACTAGTTTATTAACACTTTGTATGACAAGCTTAATAAATACAGTATGTTAAATGGAAGTGAATGCAGGTTAATATAACTAGGTAATAAAGTTGCATAGTATATTAGTTATCTATTAATGCATAACAAATTACCTTAAAACTTACTGGCTTAAAAACGCGAACATTTATTATCTCACAGTTTCTTAGGATAGGAATATGGGTATGACTTAGATGGGTGCCTCTGGCTCAAGGTTTCTTGGGAGATTGTAGTCAAACTGTGAGCAGGGCTGTGGTCGACTATGAAGGCTCAGCTAAGGAAGGATCTGCTTCTAGGCTTATTCATGTGGTTGTGGCAGGAGTTATTTCCTTGCAAGATGTTGGACTGAGTGCCTCAGTTCTTTGCTGGCTGTTGGCTTGAGACCACCATCATTTCCTTAGCATATGGGCCACCTCATAGGCAGCTCGCATCATGGCACCTGGCATCTGGCTTTTCTCAGAGGAAGTGCACAGAGTGTGCTGGATATGGAAGCCATTTTTTTTTGTAATCTAATATTTTATTCATCAGTAGTGAGCCAGTAAGTCTAGCCCACTCAAGGGAAAAGGGATACACAAGGGTGTGGATACCAGGATGAGGTCGCCATTTTAGAGATTGCCTGCCATACATGGTAACATACAAAAACATACAAAAATGTGGATGTATTCCATATGAAGAAAAAATATATTTGTAAATTTCATTTTATTTTGTCAGGAGCAGTTGAAATTAGCAGATGGTATCTAATTTTAAAAATCAGAACCTCTAGTTTTGCAAACAAAATACTAAACTAAAGAATTTTGATTTATCAAGTGTACTGTGTGATATCTCTTTATAATATAACAGATACAGAAATTTGCCATTGGGATTTAAAAAATGTTGTCAACTATCTTTTGCCTTTATTCCAATGTATAAAACCTTGTTTTGGATTCATTGATGAGCAAAAATTATATTTATATTTCATATTTTCTCTTTATATTTAATGTTAATAACATGTCCTCTTGTTCATGTCTGTCTATTCTTTACTCTCTATTAGATCGATCTGGAATAGAAAACGTCAACTCTGTGGAGGCTTTGCAGGAAACTCTCATCCGTGCACTAAGGACCTTAATAATGAAAAACCATCCAAACGAGGCCTCTATTTTTACAAAACTTCTTCTAAAGTTGCCAGATCTTCGATCTTTAAACAACATGCACTCTGAGGAGCTCTTGGCCTTTAAAGTTCACCCCTAAGGCCTTTGTTTATTTAAACATGAACTGATTCATGCTAACTGTACCTTTTGTGCTAAAATGCTTATTTATATGTGTATACCATATGTGGAGATAGAAAAGACCTTTAAGACAATACAAGATTGTAGGCTATCTCTGTAATCATACAGTAGCTGTTTGGATTGAGGTTTCTTCAGCCATGGTTAGACATTGACCGCATTTCCCCTATAGACCAATCAGCTGTGTCGCACTTAAACTGGAGAAGTTACACTGAATTATAGTCACACTGAATGTTAGACTTTTTCATCTGCCAAAACCAAAAATCATTTTGATCTCCCTGTGGTATAAATATAGCGCACAATCACAAATATATGAGGACTTAAAAAGTAATCCTTTGTGGTAGAAATTCTGTTGTATGAGGAAGACTTGATTTCACCACAAGACCATTTGATCTGGTAATTGGAGACATTGCAAGTTAGGACATCTTCATGTCTGTATTTTGTTCGGCTGCTTGTTAAAGTGTATGATCCTGGGCAGGTTAGTTGGTTGTGGAAAATGAAAATTGATAGTGTACTTAATGCCCCACCTCACAGATACTAAAAAATGTCTATAAAGCATATTTACCTCTTGGGAGATAGGCACTATGTAAATAAGGTAAATTTTTTTGTTATTATAATTATTCATAATAATATTCTTCCCTTATTTCTAAGTATTTCTGAGAAATCATTTCACAGTTCACACCAACCTATTATTCAGGGTTCCTGCATATGTGTGGGGTATCCTCCTGGCACACACATATTCAAAATTTATGGGTACATCAAATACATAGTATGTGTACATAATATCTATGTGAATATAGTTACATAAACACATTTCTTCACAATATTTTAAACTGTGAAGAACTTTATCATACAATAAATTTAAAACAAGTGGTGTCAAAGACTCAAATTAGGTGCATTTTACCTGTTGATGACATAACCATTGCTTTAAATGTTTAGACAGTAGATTATTGAACTTATGCTCTATTTTTATTTAAGCAGCACTTAATGTAAAAGTACAACAGGCAGTTGAGTCCAAATTTCAAAAAATACGTATTTTAGAGTTCATCTTTGGTTAAATCTTTGGTTCAAGGTACTAGTTTAAAAGTTCATTCAGATTCTTACCTTGTACTAAAATAGGTTACATTGCTGCCCCTTATATACATGCTGCAGCTTGATAAATATTTTGATTCTTTTTGGAGAACCAATCAATGTTTTAAGAAAACTGTTTAATGTGTTGGTCCTGCGTGGGGTTCGTGTGTGTGTGTGTGTGTGTGTGTGTGTGTGTGTGTGTGTGTGTGTGTGAGAGAGAGAGAGAGAGAGAGAGAGAGTGTGTATATGTATGCATTTGTGTGCAAGTGTGTTTTGAGTCCACTCTTTTTTTTCCTAAATAACACTACAGGGATTTTGTCAAATTAGATTTACTCTGTAATTTGAAAAATCATTTAGTGTGTGAGACCTACAGGCTTAGAAGTGGTACAGAGACATTTCATCCACATTTCTAATATTGGGCTTTATTAAACAGAGAAGATCAGCCTGTTTATGGCAGTGAGAGAAGTAGCCAAAGTTGAGGATTTTATGTATGTTTTTCTGTTTCCCTGAAAAATAGCAATTAATTGGAATTTTTTTGAAAAGATTGCCTTCTGTATAATTTTTGGATTATATAAAACTTTAAGAGTGGAAAGAGCCCGCTTTACTATACTCAGCCTGTTACTTTAATGACATGTGAGCAGAATGCCTTATTTTGTAATCTTGTTTAACTTGTTGCTACTGGGACTTGAATTTCTGTGGCACTTGTTAAGTAAGTCAAAAAAATAAGTTAAATCCTCTCATTATTAAAGAGGAAAGGTGATGGTGATGTCTGTCATACAGTATAAACCATAATTGTGATTTACCGTACATAGGTAAGACTTTTATGGGATATACGGTATAGTTTTTGTGAATTCTTTACATGATAGCATTATCTTTTTATAATTTTTTTTCTTAAGATAAATGCATAGTTTTCTTCTATGGGGGATAGAAACGGCTTTTTGAAGTAATCCTGAAAACCTCAAAGATCATGTTTATTCTTAATTTTTGCCTTTTGCATAAGCTTCTTTATAACATGTTATCTTTAAAACAATTACTGTCTTTAGGAATGTGTAACCAGAACTACGTTAGTATTGCTTATAAAACTTTAGTTAGGTTCAATATATACATGTATACATCTATATATAGGTATGTAGGTTCGCATTTTGTCTTGTAAGATTTTATTTGAACAAATTCTTCCTGTAGGTAATGGGAAACAAAAATAATTGTTCATGGGCCACTTGTAGCATCTCTATATTTGAAAATAGCCCAATATTAAAACTACTAAAATTAAACCAGCAGCCTATTATAAGCACATTCTTTGATTGAGTCATTGGGTATAAACTTACTAAACGTGGAGAAGACAACCAGTTTGGAAAACTTCTGGGTCAGTGGGACACTGTTGAATAATTGATAATGTACTGTATGAATTAAGTGATGCTTTAACTCTGATTTTACATTTTAAATTAAAATATGGGCATTATGTCAGCAAACTTAAGGGCATTATGTTAGCAAGCTAAAACATTTTTTTTCTGTGCTTTTAATGTATCTCTTCACATGATCTGAGAGAGGATTCAAGCTTTAGAAATAGCTGAGGGAAAGGGGAAACATCTTCTTGAGTTGAAGCTTTTCCTTAGGGCGATGGTTTAATTACAGATTAAAAAAAATTAGAAAGCAATTTCAGTGGATTAAGTGTATAGCTTTTGTATTTACATTTCAAGAAATTACCATTGTAACTTGATAAGAAATGATTTATTTTATGTAAACATCATTGCAAAGCAAGGTGTAGAAGCTCAGCTAGATTTATTACTGTGCACGAGAGTAAGTACCTATCTCAATTATTCTTTTTCTTTTCCAATATAAAGTTTGCTGAATGTACAAGAAGAGTTTATCACTTAGGATATAGAATTTTTTTTAGGGGTTGGGGGGATGGGCTCTATCAGGAAATTGCCTATAAACAAAGATTGTCTTGATTTGATTCAAAACATAAAACTTGAAGCTATTCTTGAACTAACGTGGAAAAATAAAATGGCTATTGTTTAAAAAAATGATAGAAATATATTGTCAAGATATGAATTAAGTTTATTTTCTACAAACTGTTATTGATGAGGACATGGATATAATATCTTCATGTTTCTGAAAAGTAATCTGTACATGGGGGGAGGGGATAATAAATATTATTTCTAACCAAGTGTGGTTTTTGGTATCGATCTCGGTGTTTTTTGTAAGACTCTAATTTAACTTACTGCTTTCCCCTGAGCATAGCAGTACATCTTAACCTAAATCTCTGATTCAGCATGGTGGAATGTATATATGCAGGGCTCTTTGGATTTTAATTTGTTCAGCGAGTCCAGCAAGGGTTGTTGAGTTTTCTGTAATGATAGCTGAATAGTGGTTTGCTGTATCTGGTAAGGCAATCATTCTTAGAAGGGGTTAGTGAGAGAAGGGGGTGCTTGATCTAGCCAAGACACAGCTTTGGCTGTGAATGGGATAGGATGCCTCAGCAAGACCACCACCTCCTTTCCCCTTTCCTAGGGGTTGTAGCCATGCTGGCAAAGTTGAGGCAGGATAATAGATGTTAGGTGGGAGGATTGGTCTCCTTGATTGAATAAACTTGGAAATGCTGGGTTAACAAGGTTACTGAGATGTCTTTATGTAAGTCCCATTCTCTAATGAGCAAGTGTGTTTCGTGAGTTCTTTTAGGAAGGGCTTAGTGGGATGCAGTCTTTTCCAAACTTCCTCTGCCAAGTAGCGCCCCCCCTTTTTTTCTGTGTTGAGCACTTCTTGGGGCTCCTTGGAAGGTATGCTTTCAGGAGAAAAAACGTTAACCCACTTTGGATGTTGATCAGGATATTGATCATACTCTCTGGATTGTACAGATTTGTATTTTGTCCCATTTTTGCACTATACTTGCATAGCCAAGTGTAATAAACGAGCTCTAAATAAATGTGTGGTTGATGAAAAACAAACTAGATTAAATTCCTTTTGAATTTTTAAAGTGCTGCATGTGAGTGAATGAGTGAAGACAGCCAATTCGTGGATCTGGTTTTAGTTTCACACTTGGGCCTGTTAAAATTTGTCCCATTTGCTTTTCTTAATTCTTGGTCTTGTCTAAAGGTTTAGCAACAACTATGGCCTGTGTTCTAGTAGTCACATCAGAGTTGCTCTTCGCAATGTCAAAAGTTCTGGGGTGGCTGGGTGGCTCAGTTGTTAAGCATCTGCCTTTGGCTCAGGTCATGATCCTGGAGTCCTGGGATTGAGCCCCACGTTGGGCTTCCTGCTCTGCGGGGAGCCTGCTTCTCCCTCTCCCCTGCTTGTGTTTCCTCTCTCCCTGTGTCTCTCTCTGTCAAATGAACTCTTAAAAAAAAAAAAAATTGCTTTCTATGGGGCACAGTCCTAAGAATGTAAAGATGGTCTCAAAATCAGCATTTTGATATAAATTACTAAAGAGGGTGAGACCAGTGTTTCAAAGAAGACTCAAATACCTAGGATGAAAACGGTGTTTTCAAATTTTCTTTCTCTGTTTTCCTACTGGTAACCACAGAATTGAAATGATCTTCTGAAAAGTCTGTAAGTTCTGTGTTTTTTCTTTTCTACGGTTTCATTTTTCTCTGAATTCTCCTTATCCGTAACCCCAGCAGTTCCCTCCGCTCCCCCCCCATTACTTTGTTGCTTTGCTTGTAAATTTTGATCTCCCCACCCCCCCAACAGCGATCTCATTTCCTGTTCAGGTTCTGCAGTTACATGTAAGTAGGGTAGCTTCCAAAGTGGAAAGCACCTACACTTTCATTCTCTTTTTTTTTTTAGGATTGTATTATTCCTTTTTTTTTTATTTTAAAGATTTTATTTATCCAACAGTGAGAGACACAGCGAGAGAGGGAACACAAGCAGGGGGAAGGGGAGAGCGAGAAGCAGGCGTCCCGCGGACCAGGGAGCCTGATGCGGGGCTCGATCCTAGGAC